ATCATCATACCCAGCACCATATTCGTTGTCCTCCTCCTCTTCTTCATCCTCATCTGTTTTATCGTCTTCAACGTCGGCTTGCTCATCTACGGCCTCATTATTTCCATCTACATTTGAAGCCGCTACGATGGGATTTGGTGTCGTTGCACTCCCACACACACGGTAACTCTCACCATCGCCACCATTGGTCCTAGGGACAGTATTCCCGAGTGCTTTGACGGTTGTAATGAAAGAGACAAACAAGGTGACACTAGGATCCCCACCACGAATCAAAAAGAAGGTATCCAGGCTCATTTGATTGTCAATGTAGACAGGAGGGCGTTTACTTTCTATCATCACTGACATCTTTCCCGGCATCCAGTAACTAATTATTGGATTGCATTCGGTGGACTTCAAACTGAAAACCTCGCATAATGTACGTACAAATTCCGTGTACGTCATTTTTTGCCTAACACGTACACAACGACCAAACCAGCCTTCCCATGGTTCAAATTTCCATTCTTCTTCTTTGCATCTCCACTCACCCACCATAGTAAATACGGGAATATCCATTACACACCTGCATCATAAATTCAGCAGAACCCCATTAAATGCAAATGAAAGCATGATTATATCTACAAAAATCAAAAAGAATTCCCAACTACACACTTATATACATAAATCTATTCTCATTTAGCAATTTCAACAAAAAAAATTGGAAATAAAAATATTATGGGTTTTTATATAAAAACAATGTTGATTTCGAACACAATCAAGACCCTAGTGTGTTAAAACAAAAAACTTCTTAACCAATTTCATTACTTACACGATCAATGCTTGTCTTGGCTCCAAACTTTGTAAATCAAGAAGATCAAAACTTCTCAAGAATCACATTCGTTCAGAATAATTTGTTTGTTTGATGGATCATGTTTGTCTCTTACAACTATTCACAAATATAAACTAATATTAGAAAAAGTAATGATGACTTTTGCATTAATTGTGACATGAGTCATGTCTAAACTTTTTGGGCATTAAATCCTGATGTCTCATTGTTTTTTAATGTTATTAATCCCCATTTGTCACTGTACTCCCGCAGAAATCAATTAAGAACAAAATATATTGCTTAACCGGAACAGTGTACGTAACTGAACCGCTTAACTGAACCGTACAGTGAACAGTACATCGTTACGCTGGTAGGGGTAAAATGGTCAGATTTTGGCTAAATTATCAAAACTTGAAAGACAATTCTCACTTTGCCAAAACATAAAATTAAAACTTGGTCTTATGCCCTGCCATGCAATTTACCCTACTTGAAAACAGCCTTGAAGTACACAAAATCTCTTGAAATCTTCATAAGAAACCTAATAAAAACACAGCAAAAGTGGACGAAAATAGGATGTTATCAATACCAGGGAAGAGAAGCCATCCTCTAGCAATCATGGATCGAAACCTAGCAACAGATCGAACGAGAACTTCCTCAATTTTTGATTGATTGCGAAATCAACTCTGCATTATCAATAAACTAAAAATTAAACCCGAGCAACCACAAAGTTGCCACTCCGCAAGCACAAAAATGGACTTCACCCACCATCGAGAGCATCGCCTAGAAGACTAGTTGCCATCCTATAAAAACAAAAACATGTAAGTAAAGGAGCTTTCGATGCATCGAGTACCCATGGGCATAAAGCTCGAATCCATTATGCTCTCAGTGATAACCACCCACTTGGACATCAAGTTAGCCTAATCAATATGATTCAAAATTCTCTTTTCTTTGTAATGTCTCTGAAACAAAGCTTAGGATAAACAAAAGTGAAGATACATTCAACTATCTTCCTGTTCTATTTGGGAGACAAGATGCCCAGTGGGAAATGTCACACATGTTCATAGAGATTACTACAATGAGAGTAGAATACCTTTATATCCACATTTGGAGTTCTATGTGGATTCTTAATTCTATTTCTAGTATTTCATAATGCTTTGCATTATGTCATTATGTGATTACTTGCGATCATCCATATTGCCTAAAGCTAATATCATTATTGTTTATGGCCCTCCCTGACACTTTATATATAGTAGCTTTCTATATCAGCATTATTGTTACATGGTGCATCAAAAACCTCAAACAAACCTAAATTGCATCTCATCTTGGAGAATGTTGCCTCGTTTTAGAAAGTGAATCCTCTCGAAGGTTGTGAATCTTAGCGTCAATGCTTAAATTCTTACTATTTTTTAAGCATTACTTTTACTTCTTTGGACAAAGCCATTTCTTGTAGCGTTTTGACTTGGACAAGACTATTAATTTGATTGTTTTCATGTTGAAAGTACATTTTCCCTATGTTTGACAAACTTTTTTACGTACTTCTTTTTCTTCATTTGATTGTTTTCTTTGAGAACAAACATAGAATATTCTTGCGCTCGGTTACATTTAAGAGTGTTGTTGCAGCTAAGTTAAACCCAAGTTTCTTTGTGCTCGAGGTTTAATTTCTCGCGACTGCATTCTTCAGTTTTGCTTGAACTTTGAACTGTTTCTACAAAGATTATTAAGGTTTCCCGGGAAAATACTGCCATGTAGTCTCCTCTAGACAAAGAACTTCTTATTGGGTCTTGTAGTTCCAGGAAAGACCTCCTACGCAGGACCCAACTGGACTATATTTTCTTTTGGCAGTCTTGCCCTCGAGGGTAATTTTGAACGTTGCTATGGAACATGTCCCCAAGGACGTCATGAGCAGCAACAATAAAGAAAAGGACGTGTTCCATATACAATTTTAGACCAATGACAACATCCCATGCTAAGAAACTTAAGGATGCATTCAACGGATTACATCAAGAGATTTTGGACAAAGAGAGCATTCAGATGTCCATTGGGTGATGTCCATAAAGTCAAACACATTCTAAGCCTCTAGTTAACAATTCAAGACACTAGACAGACCAAAAATAAATGTCTTTTATTTCTAGCCAACAGAATTGACAAAAAATACTAACCAAAAGTCATTTTGAAGGTAAGGAGGCCCGGCCCTGTGCCCATTTTTGAGAAACATTTGTATGGGGCCTCAAACTTTTGAGGCCTTTTTGTGGAATTTTTTTTTTTTTTTTTAAATAGGCCTCAAAATTAACCAAAAAACTCTAATATTAGTAAAAAATCACATAATTAACAAAAAAATATGCCATAATTAATAAAAAAAGTCTCAAAATTAACAAACAATGTCTAAAATTTAAAAATATTTATAAATAAAACTTATAAATATCTCATAATTAGTAAAAAAAATTTTTTAGCAATTTTTATTATTTAAAAAGGCCTCAATTTTTTTTTCGTATTTGGCCTCGGATTTTACTGGACCGGCACTGGTCAGAAGGCGAAGAGTTAAAAACTCTCATTGAACATTATCTTTGTTTCATTATGTTTTATGGAAAATTAGCTAGCTTTCCTTTCAAACTAAACAATATTCCTGTATATTCATGTAATCTCCATTGGAGAACATATCCTACTTTTTAAACAAACATTTTTTTATTGTGTGGGTATTCTCATTTAGTTTCTTTTGATCTTTCGATGTGTAATATCTCTAGTGATCAAAATAGCAGTGTGTATGTTGTCTTTGTGTTAAACCAACACATACAATGTTCCAATGACGGTCGTTTGTGACGCGTTCTTGCCATTGTTCATAGTTTCGCTATGAGAGTATTAAAACTTGGGTTTATACCTAAGATTTGTGCGACATGAGTTATATATGCTAAGGTTTCCATCACCAATTTTCAAAGTTTTGTTGCGAGAGTATTAGATCTTAGGTTTAATGTACGTAAGGTTTATACTAGGCGAGTTCTTTATATTGTGTAGTTATCCCTTCACCTTCGTAGAGACTAACTCGGTTCATTACGCATCAATTTGGGTGGCATTCGACGCATTTCTGTCCGGAAAAATGTTTTCGTTTTTCTCTAGGTGGCTTTGCGTCGCCTACTCGCCTACCATCCGTGCTCTTTTTTTCCTCCGGGTCTCTTGTAATCCCGTGCAAGGGAGACACAGTTGATTTATCTTTGCGCTGGCTTGATTTGTAGATTCTGACCCTTGACTTTTAACGTTTTCCTTTAACGATTGAATTTGTTTATAGATGTGGAACCTTGTTTATTGGGAATAAGCCAGACAAAACAAAGGTTTGTTCTCCAGCCAGACGAGTTTTTCACTATGTGCCATCTGGCTCGCTATTTCCAACAAACGAGGTTCCCAATTGATGAAAAAAACCATCTTTTTTTTGGTATGCTAAAAAAAAAAAAAAAAAAAACCATCCAGAAGACCCTAAAAAAGTTATAAGATTGGAATTTAGTAGGTATTTAAGAAAATGTAATTAATTTTTAAAAGGATCTTTAAGAATTTAATGTTGCATTTTATTATGCATTTCTTTTGTATTTTCAAAATACAAAAGAAATAATTTAGTGAAAATTTTTGTATTTGTAATTCACTATTAAAAGTTTAAAATCATTGAGTAATTTAAGCAAATTATAAATTAATGTAGAATTTCAAATGACATATGGCCAAATATTAATACCCCATCAACTCACTAACTCAAATCTTTCAAATATTATGTTCAGTGAACCCATTTATATAATTTGAGTAGATCTAGTGACAACAAATTTGGTTTATTTTAAATTTTTAATATACTTCCCCATATAAGATAACTAAAGATATTTGAATTCAAACAAATATATCCTACTCTAGTTATTAGAGAATAACGTATTAATAACAAACATTCCAAATCAAATTTAAACAATTAAAAACCGTAGATAGTTTATAAAATTCAACCGTTGATAAATCTATAAATAAGTACTCATGGGACACTAGAAAAATCCGTTAAACAAACAAATCACGTATTAAATCGAAGGTGTTGAATATTAAAGAGAAAAATGGTGAGTATCATGAAGATAATGATGATTATAGCTCTGTTAGTGATTGGCGTGAGTGCAAAGACTGTGGAACAATGTAAACGAACAACGTGTGAGACTAAATGTCATGACAGCAAAAGTTTTGGTTGTTCTGATTGTCTCCTTCGATGCGCTTTTCCTGGAAGTAACCAAATTCTCCCTCTCTGTCTATATAACTCCAAATAATTTATTTTAATCACAAGTTTTAGACACATTGTGTTCATAAACAACGGTTATGCTTGATGATATTTTCAGGTGACAGTAAAATAGATCAACGGGCTTTGTGTATCAAGAATTGTGATGTCGGTTGTGGCCCGAGCCAGGACTGCTACCAACGTTGTATTAAACGTTGTCCTAGCCCTCTGATTTGAGGTTTAGAGGTCCTAAACTTGTGCAACTATTTTTCAATACTTCTTTCTCATTAAGTCTGTAATGTCGGGGTAAAAAGATTATGTTTTATAAACATATTAAAATAAAATAAAGAAAATATTATATTGAAACATTTGACGGTGTCACAAAAATACAGAAATCTTTTGAGATTTTGATTAATGAATCAACTATAAATTAAAGAAGAAGACATGAGAAAGAAGTAAATGGTTTTACATAAATCTAGAGGGCCTTACTTTGCTAGAAATATATTTTTATAATATTATATGTTTGTTAAAGAATTCGTAATGTGCATGGAATTATAATTATAATTATTTTATTTTTCATTTTATTTTGTTGGTAAATTTGTGGTTAATTGGTGATGAATCTTCTTGTCGTCCCTTAATTTCTCCATAGATGATTTGGATTATCAAAGAATTGCATTGTCGCAAGTTTTTGCTTTCTAAATACTACGTAAATCGCCACAATTTTGTGAAGTTTATTTTCTCTCGCTAATTGACATTTCTTGTAGACATATAATCATTAGAAAGATAAAATTCAATATATTCAAAATGAAAAAACTACGTTGTGTTGTAAACCACATAACGGATGGACTCCATAACCGTGGCCCATGTCCATGTTCTAGAAGCCCATGTCTAGCTTCTAGAAGACTCGCCCAACTGACCAAGGCCGAAGACGGTTTATGTTAGTCTTAGTGGGGCTTTAGTGTTTCCTAGGCCAATTGGGATTTGTCTCCCCTATTGTGTATATATATAAGTTGTAACCTCATTCATTAATCAAGAAGAATACACGAGATTCATAACACGTTATCAGCACGACTTGCTCTTAACGATCCCTAACCCTAATTCGAAAAATCCTTCACACAAAACCTAAGTCCGCCTCGCTCATAAGCTTACGATCGGATCAATAGGTGCTCGCGATTCCTCCAAGCTCCCAACGTTCGTGATCAAGTTCGAAAACCGAGGTCTTTAGCTCCCGGTTCATATCCGTACAACCCCATAAGGTGAAAGGTAAAATCCGAAACCCTAAAACCTAAAGACAACATCGAACTTGAACCTAAAGAAATCGCAACCCTAAAAATCGGATATTGTTTGAATCAAAGTGTTTGCTATTGCTTGCTTTGCTCGCTTGTTCTTAGGAGAGTTATTGATTCAAAACCTAAATCGTATTGTTGAAAGAAACTTAAATCGAATCGAAACCCTAAAATTCTAATTAAGTTAATAAATCCGATTGATTGAGGTCGCTTAGGTTGTTTAGATTGATTGTTTCTATGATTGGTTGCATGCATAAATTGTTAGAAATAAAACCCTCATATCGCATGAACCCTAGAAACCAAAACCCTAGAGAAAGCTTAATCCTAAATAAAATAGGAAAACCTAAGTAAAAAGAAAAAAAAACTAAAAAAAAAAATCTAAAATCATAATCAAAATAGAAATTTCTAAAAAACCCTAAATCCTATTCTAAATAGAAAAATCTTAAATCCTATTGTAAATAGGAAAATTCTTAATTCTATTCAAAATAGAAAATCTCTAAACCCTAATTAAAATAGGAAATCATAAATCCTAACTAATATAGGAAAACCTAAAACCTAATCGAAATAGGAAATCCCTAAAAGAGGAAATTTAATCCTAAGAGGAAAGTCAAATCTTTAAGTAAATCGATTCATGATTCGGTCTTAAATACCGCATGACATTAACGATTACATGATCTTGACTCAAAACCATTTTTGCTTGTAGATGTCGAATTACAACTTGTACTTTACTGCCCTAAATATCTGAGGAGATAATTATTTAAAATGGGCAATGAATACTAAGATTATCCTAAAGTCAAAAGGACTTGGTGAATGTATCACATAAGGCAATAATGCCAAGTGAGAAAGATAGATACAAGGCAATATTAATTATTAGCCACCATCTTATTGAGAGTCTCAGAATCCAGGAACTATAAGTCCGTGGATGAGTCTATTGCTAGCTGAGTAAAATAATGGCTTACTGATGAGATACAGTAAATTAAGACCTCATAGATTAACCCCATTACTTGATGCCAATAAGGCCGCAAAGGATAAGAAAGAATCCAAAGAATCTAACCACGTCCAGAGTGATAGACCACACGGCCGTGACCGTGGTGGATGGAAAGGACGTGGTTGTGGCCACTATAACTCATCCGACCGTGGGAACCACTATAACCATGGTTGTAGACCCAATTTTGGCCATGGTCGAGGGCGAGGAGGCTGTGATATTTATAAACCACAACACTCGACTAAATCAGTGTGCCATAGATGTGGAATGGGGAACCATTGGGCTAAGATATGTAGGACTCCCAAACATCGTTGTGACCTCTATTAGGAGAGTGTAAAAAGGAAGAATCCTAAAGCCCATTTGGTCTATAAAGATGGTAAACATGATCAAGATAGTCTAATGGAGTATGAAAATTCTGATTGCCTAAAAGAATCAAGTTGATAAATCTGAATTCGACATCAAAACCTCTATGTTTTCTTTGCCGTTTTATGTGTTCATTAATTGTTATCTCCTTGAATTTATTTGATATTATTTTATGTTTAAAACATGATTTTTGTCCATATTAGAAATGGCTGAAGACAAGAACATACTTGTGGTGGATAGTGGATCAAGCCACACAATTATTGAGGGCCACGGTCAAGCCCATATTCTTGAAATAAGCGATGCCCTATATTCACCCAGCTCGAAGAGGAGCTTATTAAGTTTCAAAGATATAAGATTGAATGGTTTTCATATTGAAACAAATGGTGAATGGAACAAAGAATTCCTAAATATAATTGAGATCACCCAAGGACATAAGAAAGTCCTAGAGACTATACCCGCATTATCCACTGGTCTCTACTATGCTAAAATCGATATGACCGAAGCTAATATGGCAATGAACAAAGAGTTCATCGAGAAATTCACTTTATGGCATGACCGGCTTGGCCATCCGGGTCATAGTATGATGCGTAAGCTTATGATAAATTCAAGGGGACACACCCTAAAAGAGAAAAGAGTTATCCCTAAGAATCTCACATGTGAAGCATGTTCACAAGGGAAACTCATTATAAGGCCATCACCGGCTAAGGTAAATAAAGATACCTTAAACTTTCTGGAAAGGATACAAGGGGATATATGTGGACCAATACACCCTCCATGTGGGACATTTAGATATTACATGGTCCTCATTGATGCATCGACAAGATGGTCGCATGTTTCTTTATTATCCTCTAGAAACCAAGCGTTTGCTAGGTTATTGGCCCAGATCATAAGACTGAGAGCCCATTTTCCAGATTTTCCGCTTAAGACTTTACGTCTAGATAATGCCGGTGAATTCACGTCCCAAGCGTTTAATGACTACTGTATGTCCATGGGGGTAAGTGTAGAACATCCCGTGGCACATGTACATACACAGAATAGATTAGCGGAATCCTTCATTAAACGAATCCAATTGATAGCTCGACCATTACTCATGAGGTCGGAGCTTCCAGTAGCCGCTTGGGGACACGCTGTTTTACATGCATCAGAGCTTATACGCATAAGACCATCTAGTGAACATAAATATTCACCATCCCAATTACTCACGGGTCATGAGCCAGACATATCCTATCTAAAGATTTTCGGGTGTGCCGTATATGTACCGATTGCTCCACCACATAGAACAAAGATGGGACCTCAAAGGAGGATGGGAATATATGTTGTATTTGATACTCCCACCATTATTAAGTATCTAGAGCCAACTACGGGTGATCTATTTAAGGCTAGATAAGCAGATTGTCATTTTAATGAATCCGAATTTCCTACTTTAGGTGGAGAGACGAACAAGCTGGTCGAAGAAATATCATGGAATCAAACATCTTTAAATTGGCAAGATCCTCGGACTCTGGCATGTGAATCAGAGGTCCATAAGATAATAAATTTGCAAAAGCTAGCTAATAAATTGCCGGATTCCTTTGTTGACCCAAAGAAAGTTACAAAATCGTACATACCAGCTTGTAATGCACCAGTACGTATTGATGCCCAAAAGGGAATCAATGAAGTTGCTACCGAGTCTAACGCACGTAAGAAACGTGGTAGAACAATAGGTTCCATAGATAAAAATCCTCGAGAATCAAAGAAAGGTGCAATAGGAAACGAGGTTAAGGAAACCATAGACATGGCCGCGGCAGACCCTAAGGAACCGAATAGAGAGATTTGGGATGCCAATCCTCATGGTCCTGAAGGGATAGATAATAATTAGATCTCAATAAATTATATCATGTCTGGAATAAAATGGAACCGCAAAGATGTCGACATCGATGAAATATTTGCATATAAAGTAGCACTTGAAATGAATGAGGATCATGAACCCACGTCTATATTAGAGTGCACTCAAAGATCAGATTGGCTAAAGTGGAAAGAAGCCATAATCGTGGAGTTAAGTTCATTAAAGAAAAGGGATGTGTTTGGTCCGACCTTAAGGACACCATCCGAGATAAAACCAGTAGGACACAAGTGGGTCTTTGTGAGAAAGAGAAATGAGAATAATAAAATCGTGAGACATAAGGCACGGCTTGTAGCACAAGGATTCTCACAAAGACCGGGGATAGATTATGAAGAAACATACTCCCCTGTGGTGGATGCAACGACTTTTAGATTCTTAATAAGTCTGGCAATAAGAGAAAATCTTGATTTGCGGTTAATGGATGTTGTGACCGCTTATCTATATGGTCCACTGGATAATGAAATATATATGAGATTACCAGAGGGTACTGAGCTCAAAGATAAAGATAAGAAAGGGTCTCGAGACCAATACTGCATAAGGCTGAACAAATCGCTTTATGGACTGAAACAAAGTGGGCGCATGTGGTACAATAGATTAAGTGAGTACCTAGTCAAAGAAGGTTATAAGAATGATCCCATAAGTCCATGTATCTTCATAAAGAAGTTTGCAAACAAAGGATTTGTGATAATAGCAGTATATGTGGATGATTTGAACATAGTCGAATATCTAAAGAAAGAATTCGAGATGAAAGACCTAGGCAAGACAAAATTCTGTTTGGGATTACAACTTGAGTACGTGAATAATGGAATCCTTGTGCATCAAAAGGCATATACTGAAAAAGTACTCAAGAGATTCAATATGGACCAGGCCCACCCATTGAGCAGCCCAATGGTGGTGAGAAGCCTCGAATTGGATAGTGATCCATTCGGTCCAAAGAAGGACGAGGAAGAAGTTCTCGGTCCTGAAGTGCCATACTTCAGTGCCATAGGAGCGTTAATGTACTTGGCTAGCCACACTAGACAAGACATTTGTTTTTCCATGAACCTCCTATCGAGATTTAGCTCATGTCCGACCCAAAGGCACTAGAACGGAATTAAACATCTTTTACGTTATTTACAAGGAACTGTTGATTTGGGTCTATTCTATACTAACCATAACACAGAAGGTTTAGTTGGTTTTGCTGATGCAGGTTATCAATCAGATCCACATAATGGTAAGTCACAAACAGGTTATGTGTTTACACACAGTGGAAACGCAATTTCGTGGCGTTCAATGAAGCAAACCATCTCAGCCACTTCATCCAATCACGCGGAGATCTTGGCAATACATGAGGCCAGCCGTGAGTGTGTGTGGTTGAGGTCGATGACTCAACACATACGATCTAATTGTGGCATGGACGATGAGAAGGGACCAACGGTCATGTACGAGGACAATGCGGCCTGCATCGCTCAGGTCAAAGAAGGTTACATCAAGGGAGATCGGACGAAGCACATCCTACCTAAGTTCTTCTTCACACATGATCTACAAAAGGATGGAGAAGTTCAAGTGGTGCAGGTCCGATCCAGTGACAATTCAGCCGACCTATTCACTAAGGCATTACCAACATCGACATTGAGGAAGCTCACGCATCAAATTGGAATGCGGAGACTTAAGGACTTTCAGGGATGACCAAAACAGGGGGAGTAATACGTGCTGTACTCTTTTTCCTTCACCATGGTTTTGTCCCAATGGGTTTTCCTGGTAAGGTTTTAATGAGGCAGCATCCCCAAGCGTATTACTGAGATCCTTTGGCATCTACACGGTTATGTCATCCAAGGGGGAGTGTTGTAAACCACATAACGGATGGACTCCATAACCGTGGCCCATGTCCATGTTCTAGAAGGCCCATGTCTAGCTTCTAGAAGACTCGCCCAACCGACCAAGGCCAAAGACGGTTTATGTTAGTCTTAGTGGGCTTTAGTGTTTCCTAGTCCAATTGGGATTTGTCTACCCTATTGTGTATATATATAAGTTGTAACCTCATTCATTAATCAAGAAGAATACACGAGATTTATAACACGTTGAACGCTTTTAACTAATTTAAAAATCAAGGTATTATGTTTTTTTGAACAATTATTTTTAAAAATGGATACTACATGAAAATTAAAAAAAAAAAACTATTTGATCCAATGATGAAGTTTGACATTATACGGAATCACTAAAATAGCAAAGTGAGCCGGCAAATGCGATGTTGTGAAGTGTGATCATATCTCTACTAGGTGTTAATAACCTCGACTTTGAGGCCTTTTCTTCAAAGCCGGAGTGAGTGGAACAAAGCTACGATGACTAGCGTCTCATCGTATGTAAGAATTGCAAAACCATTAACCATATACGAACTTAGGATGTTTCATCGCTCACAAAGCAAGGAAATGTCTCCGCTATAACCAAGCTTGTAGCCCCAAATTATGTACTTATGTGATAATCTATTATAGAGAGTGTTGTACTATAAAATAGCTTAAAACATAAGCATCATATCGAATGACATGTCATCTTCGAACAAATTAAAGTTCAATGTTCCAGTGAAAATTTTGATCTCCATATTCTTTATATCAACGTCGTTAAAGGAAAGAAGTGTTCTCCATATTTTCAGAATTCTGAGAAAGGTACCCAAAACTCTCACTCCCTATAATTTGGAATTTTGGATCTCATGGTTGAAAATGTTCAAGACTAATTCTGAAACCTATATATATATAGTTACCATGTGAACTGTACATTGTTCATTATATGATTTAGATAGTTGAATTTGCAGAGGGTATTTATAACTTCTAAGACCATCTCCAATGTAAATCGCTATTTTTTTATTCTAAAATAGAATAGAGTTTCCCTTCAATGTATTACTCTATTTATTACTCTAAAATAGCCTTAGTGTAAAAAAAATAAAGGAGAAAATAGATTTGCTCTAAATATAGAGCAATTTTCATTTTTACTCTATTTTAGAGTAGAATATATATAGTATGGTTGGAGAGAATTTTGCTCTATAATAGAGTTTAGAAGAAAAAATAGAGTGAGGTTGGAGATGCGCTAAACAAAGGTGAATGGAACGAACATGCACGAACCCGAAGATGTGTTATTATATTTTCTCTCCAGTCTCAACCTTGTGGTACAAACAACAAGTGTCGTCAAATTTGCATGTTCATATCTGATTTGAGACTTGCGGTTGTATTGGTAGCCAGAAAATCACCATCAACAAGAACAAAATATGTTTGTCTTAATTTTTAACATTAAATTTTTAATATATTATTCAACTTAAATAGAAAATAATTATTTGGGAAGTAATATACTTTTGGAGAAGAGAAAGTCAGAAAACTAAATAAAGAGATATATAATTTAACAATAAAATTATCAGGTGCAAACCTCTTTTTGTTCATTATTGCATATATATAACAGAAAAATTTGCAAAAGAAAATAGAAAAATGATATTACTTAAGATCTATAAAAATTTATTAATTGAAACAAAAAAGTGAATGTGAACAAACAAATTGAAATGACGTGGCAGTAAATATAGTAAATAACTATGCATAGCAGCTGAGTCAACAATTTTAACATATGAGAACTAAAAGTTTGCATCTTAAAAATAATGTGGCAGTTGTTGTGCTTAAAAACTCTTCATAGCAACTGAGTCAACAATTCTAACAGATTGACTAATATTGTTAGAGTCAATGTATGTTTAAGCTTAAAAACAGTATTTAGAGTATGCAGTCGACATAATTATTATATACATAATAATGTATGTTATATCGCCACTGATCCTTACTTGATGTATGCAGAGGCCACTCTCTTTTTTTTGTATTTTAAACGTGTATTTGGAGACTAGATTTTCTGATTATGAAGCGACTAAGCTTTACATTCAAATTGGAAGTCTTCCTGATAGTATCTCATAAGGAAACTAGGATCTTGTTTATCCACCCTTATTGATATAATTATCTGTAAAAACTTGGTAAAAAATATCAATGTTGATATAAACTTTATTTTTGTGGGTAACTTAAGTTACTTATATTTCCATTTTTTTGTTTTCTGATTATAATAAATATTATATGTATTTACATAGATTTTCATGTTGTCATTCAATTTTAGAACATTTTTTTAACTAATTCAAAATATATTTGAACTTACAAAAATTAACTCCCCTTTTGGTGCATAATTTATATACTACTATATCTTACTAATATATATTTTATTATGAAAATTATAAAATATTGATTTAAAAATTGTTAATTTTTTTAAAAATTCTCTAATAAGTATTTTTATAATTTTTTATTTTACCAATATTTTTTATTTACATTTAAAATTTTACAAATTAAAACCCTTTAGAAATTTTACAAAATTATTCATATCTCCTCAATCCTCTTATGGTGGCTACATATAACACAAAATCCATATTGTCCTTTTATGATTGATTTTAGATATTACTATACGTTACTTAAAATGAATATATTTTAAATTTGAATTGTAAACAATTGGAAATACCTACTTTTAGGTAAATAATCAAACCATCTTTATTACTTTTATATTATACTTTTAGAAAATTAATGTATTTTAAATGTTAAAGATTTGAAAACAAAAATTGAATATATTTTGACGTAAATTTGAATTGTAAACCATTAGAAATACCTACTATTTAGGTAAATAATCAAACCATCTTTATTACTTTTATATTATACTTTTAGAAAATTAATGTATTTTAACTGTTAAAGATTTGAAAACAAAAATTGAATATATTTTGACATATGGCGCGTGCAATCTAGGTAAGTACTAGATATTTGTCAAATGTTAAGATGTCATGAGATGTATTCAACTCTATATAAGATGACTGTGTTGAACCAAAACTAGACAAACCCTCCCCCGAAAAACAAAAAAAAAAAAAAAAACAAAGAAGAATATCGACTATCGAGTATGATCAAGATAATAATGATGATGGCTTTGGTAATGATGGGAGTGAAAGCAAAAACTGTGATGAAGGCCAACGAAGTAGACCAACGTGTCATATGTTACAGGAACTGCGATGTTGGTTGTGGCACTGATAATGCATGTCATCAACGTTGTAAGAAAAATTGCGGTTACCCACCCTTGAAGAATTTTCAGTCATCGGATACAAGTAAGAAAAAAATTAATTTCTATAACCCAATTCTTTATAGTCGGATCTTATGGCTGTGGAAACTATTTTTGAACTATATAGTTATGTGAATTCTGCAATGACTCTATAGTAAAATAAAGTGAAAATAATGCAAATTTCTGTTTATATTTTATGACTTAGAGTGATTGTATTTACAATCGATGGTTATGATTTATAATGTTTACAGGGGACAACGAGGTAGACCAACGTGTCATATGTTACCGGAACTGCGATGTTGGTTGTGGCACTGATAATGTGTGTCATCAACGTTGTAAGAAAAGTTGTGGTTACCCACCGTTGATGAATTTTCAGTATTCTGATACAAGGAAGAAAAACATTTTAATTTCTAGAACCAAATTCTTTATATATATAGTCGGATCTTATGGCTTTGAAAAATATATTTTTGAACTATATAGTTATGTGAATTCTGCAATTACTCTATGGTAAAATAAAATGAAACTAATGCAACTTTGTTTTTATTATATGATTTAGTGTAATTGTATTTACAATTGATGGTTATGATTTATGATGTTTATAGGGGCCAACGAAGTAGATCAACGTGTCATATGTTATCGGAACTGCGATGTTGGTTGTGGCACTGATAATGCGTGTCATCAGCGTTGTAAGAAAACTTGTGGTTATCCACCCTTGATGAATATCCATCTATGATTTGTTGAGATTCAGAAGTCATGGACTTGTGAAACTTTTATTATATAATTCTCTTCGTGATTTAGTTGTTTATTTCTTGAGTTTTCACATGTTGGGGTTGTAATTGGCATGAAAAGATTCTATGTAAACATACTAAAATCAAACCAAGAGATTACTTTCATAAAAGAAATGTGATGGTATAATACTCACTAAAGTCTAAAATCAAATATATATGCTTCTTGGATATTTTTTGAAGAATAACAAAATCTAAAAAGAAAAAAAAAAGATATATTAGAGAGAGAATAAAAGATGAGTAAAAAATACATGTTCAGAGAAAAGAGAAAACAACAACCGTGTACATGTTTTTATTATATACACAAACATTCTTTTGGGCATAAAGTTGTATAAATGTTTTTTTTTTTTTTCGAACTTACTTATATTAACCGTAAAACAGAGTTAAAATACAAATCATCAACAAATCTTTGCCAAAGAACTCAATAATAGATAATACTCATTTAGAACAATGTGGATAAGAGATGCATCAATAAAAAAAAAAATATGTAGCATGATAAAACCGTGAGTGGACTCCATCAAGAAAGTTTCAGATTTAAACGGATTGAAGATAGTCTTCAAAGGCTCTTTAATTAGCCAATGAAAACGAATGAACAATAACTTGACCTCGTGAGTCCATCGAGGATGAGCTTTTTAAAAAATTCTCCACAAAGGAGAAGGGATGTGGAATGGTTCTCTCCATAGAGACGGAAAGAAATGGATTTTTGCTCAAGGGAGTAAGGTGATAATATAGATCTCCACAAAGGAAGAAGATAATGAAATAAATCTTTTCACAAATACGTAAGGTGATGAAATAGATCTCTTTACACATGAGAAATATGATGATATAGATATCACCACTTAGGAGGGGAAAATTAGGGTCAGTGATATCAAATAAATGCGGTCTTTGAACCGGAGATGGAGCAAATAGTGAATTCAAATTTTCACACAGGTGGACTGCAGCTAGGCGATTATAGTCTTATTGGGCTTACCATTCCCATCAAAAATAGCCAGAAAATCAAGTCCATTTCGATAAAATATTGGTTTAGAGAAGTACATGGACTCGGCTTTGTGCATTACATGCCCATTAAGCAGAAAAACCAAAGTTGGTCCATTAGTGAAAACTCTAGTTTAACAACAATGGGATGAGTAGTGAAGAGAAATTTGATTGAGTAGGTCTCCAAAGTGTCAGTGAGTGGGGCACAATTTTTCTCCGCCTTGTCAATAAAGATATATTTTCAGATGTCGGAATCCGACATGAAGACGAAGGATGCTACATTCACATTGTTGAGAGATTTGTTTGCGGGTTAGATATTATCGTCACAGGAGGTGTGAAGGGTTCTCGCCAGAACAACAAGCCAATGGAGTGGTGCTGCATGAGCAAAGATTTTCGACAACCAAAAACGGATTCATCAAAAAAGAGTGGTGGTCTAAAAAGTGAGAACAATTTAAAGTAAATAAGAGAAGCGGTACGATAATACAAGAGTGTGGACATAGTGATGCCGGCGAGCAATGACTCCGCCAGCATAAGAAACTAAACTCATATTGATTCCTAGATAATGGTGTCCATAGAGAGATATTTTATGAATAAATGTGTTATTGATCCAAATCTGAAGAACTTACTGATTATTAAATGCAATTTTCTAATTTGTTTTATTATACTTATTAACAAATTAAATACAGAATTGAGTATTGCATACTTTCTAACTGATACACAAACCTTAGACAATCAAAGTTCATGAATATATAGTTGCAACTTGTATCCAACAATTTCAAATTCAAATTCCATATAATTTCATGAAATCTGAATTAATCTATAAATGTGAATTAATCTGAATTTCATATAATTTCATGAAAACTGAATTAATCTCTAAATAATTCAGCATAAACATATGGTATAAGGATAAGATTTAAGCTTAAACTTTTAAGAACTAAACTGGTGATCATCACAAAAAAACATATGAATTAATAAAAAAAAATTGAATAAAGAAAACAAAGAGAACATAAAGATGATCAAAAAAAGGAAGGAAGAAGAATTGTTTTAAATGAAAATTTGTTGTAAATGTAATCAAACAATTGAATAAGTATTTTTTGATAATTTTAAAATTTATAACTAAAGCAATGAAATGAAAATATTGTTTTTCATTTTAAGTTAGTCACAGCCCATTTGAAAGGCCTGTTAGGCCCATTACTCTGCCACACAAACTTGCGTTGCAATTAATAAGCCAACCTACGTATGAACGTTCGAGCTGTTTCCAATTTTTCCATACGCAGTTCTCAGTTTTGTACAATTTCCCTTTTTCTCCTTTTTTTATCCTTTTTCCCGGACCAAATTTGCCTAGGATCTGGAAAAAGGTATCATCATTCTCAAACTTATCATCATTCTCAAACTTCTCAAATTTGAGGCTCTTTTTCTTCACAACTTCACAACTAAAACCTAGCAAAATCTTTCTCTCAAAACTTTTCGTCTCTGCTCTTTAGCTAAAGCTTTTCTTTTTCTCTGTTAGTGTGATAATGGCTGGTAAAGGAGAAGGTCCAGCGATCGGAATTGATCTTGGTACTACGTACTCTTGTGTTGGAGTATGGCAACACGACCGTGTTGAGATCATTGCTAATGATCAAGGTAACAGAACCACACCTTCGTACGTTGCTTTCACCGACTCTGAGCGGTTGATCGGTGATGCTGCTAAGAATCAGGTTGCCATGAACCCGGTTAACACCGTTTTCGGTATGGAACTCATCTTTTTTTTTTCTCTGTTTTTTATTCTTCTAGTCAAGTTGAGTTACGAATATTTAGGGTTTATATGTGATCTTAATTGTTAGGGTTTAAAGGTGATCTTAATATTTAGGGTTTATAGTAATTTTAGATGAAGTTGATGAAAAAGAATTTTTAGGGTTTATAGGTGATATATAATATAGATTTTTGTTTATATTGATTTGATATTTCTTAAATCACTTGGAGTGTTTCGACAAAACTCTGTTTTTTTTCTTTTTTTTATGATTGTGACAGACGCAAAGAGGTTGATTGGTCGTATATTCAGTAACGCATCTGTCCAAAGTGACATGAAGTTATGGCCTTTCAAGATCATCCCTGGACAAGCAGACAAACCAATGATTTTGGTAAACTACAAAGGAGAAGAGAAACAATTCGCTGCGGAAGAAATCTCTTCCATGGTTCTCGTTAAGATGCGTGAGATCGCTGAAGCTTACCTTGGCTCTTCGATCAAGAACGCTGTGGTCACTGTTCCTGCTTACTTCAATGACTCTCAACGTCAAGCTACAAAGGACGCTGGTGTGATTGCTGGTTTGAATGTTTTGCGTATCATCAATGAGCCGACTGCTGCTGCTATTGCTTATGGTCTTGACAAGAAGGCAACAAGTGTTGGATACAAGAACGTGTTGATCTTTGATCTTGGTGGTGGTACTTTTGATGTTTCTCTTCTTACCATTGAAGAAGGTATCTTTGAGGTCAAGGCAACAGCTGGTGACACTCATCTTGGTGGCGAAGATTTCGACAACAAAATGGTTAACCATTTTGTTCAAGAGTTTAAGAGGAAGAACAAGAAGGATATCAGTGGTAACCCGAGAGCGCTAAGGAGATTGAGAACTGCCTGTGAGAGAGCAAAGAGAACTCTTTCTTCCACCGCGCAAACGACCATTGAGATTGACTTTTTGTTTGAGGGAATTGATTTCTATTCACCAATCACTCGTGCAAGATTTGAAGAGATGAACATGGATCTCTTTAGGAAATGTATGGAGCCTGTTGAGAAGTGTCTTCGTGATGCTAACATGAACAAGAGCACAATCCACGATGTTGTCCTTGTCGGTGGTTCTACCCGTATCCCGAAAGTTCAACAGCTTCTACAAAATTTCTTTAATGGTAAAGAGCTATGCAAGTCTATTAACCCTGATGAGGCTGTTGCATACGGTGCAGCGGTTCAAGCTGCGATTCTAAGCGGTGAAGGAAACGAAAAGGTCCAAGATCTTCTCTTGCTTGATGTCACACCTCTCTCTCTTGGTATTGAAACCTTTGGTGGTGTCATGACCACTTTGATCCAAAGAAACACAACAATCCCAACTAAGAAGGAACAGGTCTTCACCACTAACGCAGACAACCAGCCCGGCGTGTTGATCCAAGTCTACGAAGGTGAGAGAGCTAGAATCAAAGACAACAACATCCTTGGTAAATTTGAGCTTTCTGGAATCCCTCCTGCTCCACGAGGTGTCCCTGAGTTTACTGTCTGCTTCGACATTGACTCCAATGGTATCCTCAATGTCTCTGCTGAGGACAAGGCCACTGGAAAAAAGAACAAGATCACAATCACTAATGACAAAGGTCGTCTGTCTAAAGACGATATTGAGAAGATGGTGCAAGAAGCTGAGAAGTACAAGTATGAGGATGAGGAGCACAAGAAGAAGGTGGAAGCCAAGAACCGTCTTGAGAACTACGCTTACAACATGAGGAACACAATCTGTGACATAGGTGACAAGCTTCCAGCTGTAGACAAGAAGAAGATTGAAGACTCTATTGAAGAGGCAATGCAATGGCTTGATGGTAACCAATTGACTGAGGCTGACGAGTTTGAAGACAAGATGAAGGAGTTGGAGAGTTGTTGATGCACGAATCACACAAGTACGAAATAGGGTTTCTCTAGGGAAGTAAAAAGAATCTCCCAAAACAATTCGAGCCGAGAGTTCGAATGGCGTTAGGTGAGCCGAAATGAATGACTTCGGATTAAAGATTTTAGGTCGTTGATGAGGCCGAACTTTAGGTCGTATTCCGAGCTGAGTGAAGCTTGAGGTCACTTTCCTTTTCTAGATTGAGATCGCTTCTTCGTATCCTAGCCGAGTTCTTCGTGTCCTAGCCGAGCTCTTCGTGTCCTTGCCGAGCTCTTCGTGTCCTTGCCGAGCTCTTCGTGTCCTTGCCGTGTCAGCGTGATTCTCGATGGATGTGACAGGACTAGTCGTCCTGCTTTTATAACCCTACGGAGTAGGGCGTACCCTGACAGCTTTTACCGGTTTTACCCTTGGGTCTGGTGACGTGGCAGACCCGTAAGGCGGCGAGGTCGTCTAGGTTTTGATGCTTTTGGGCTTAAGGCCTGTTTCGTTGATGGGCTTCCTTTCTTGGATTGGGCCTTA